ACATCTCACCTCACATCAGTGGATTTTGTACTGGTAACGTAAAAAAAAACATGAATGTCACAAAATAATTTCAGCAATGTTCAATGCGTAAAGATTATCTAAACATATATAGTAGTAGGATTTCGATCAGAACGACGAATAGTGGTTACGAAAAGAGAGCATTTATTCACTTTCCCCGTGAAGGAATTTAAAAGCATTTTACACTCGATTACGAGATTTACCCACCTATCTGTCCATTCCTAGCGCCTGGCAAGCGATTATCAGCTTGGCAGCCCATATGGGCTGCCATCGTCCCAGGAGCACATGTTGTTGGCAGCCCATATGGGCGGCCATCGGCGTGAATGTGTTAACGTTCCCTCGTACCCACGAGGCATTCTCAGTTAAAAGTGAAATATACCACTCTTTAGTGAGCTCGTAGAACATAGCCTTCCTCGATTGCTATGGAGAGCGCTTGAAGAAGAAAGCTCAGAACTGCTCGTATGCATGCATGGATGCACCTGTTACATATCGCCTAGCGTGACAAATGAGGTTGAAAACACGAATGGGGTACGCCGAGTATTAGCGGGTCTAGTTCCCTTCCTGCTGGCTCCAAATATAACGGTAAATGGGCTCGAAATAACAGGCTGCAAATAGTCTCAACTCTGCAGGTATACTGGCTTGATAAAGGAAAATAATACTTTCAGGGTAAAGGGCAAAAAGTGGCGTTAAGTGCTGGCTGAGAGCTGCTCAAGTCATAATTACGAAGGACTGCAGTGGAACCCATCTGGGACGATGTGATGGAAGATGAACCACCATACTCAGTGGGAAAGGACCTACAACTAACTTCTCATCGCACTACCCGAGCCACTTGGTGAAGCAAAAATAGGAATTAGCAAAAATTTATCTAAGCTAGTGCGTCCAATGCAATAGACAAACCCAGAGAAGACATCTCTGCAGTTTTTCGCCTCGAGTAGTGAGTTATTATACACCATCCCTCCCTCGATGTAGTTAGTGTGCTCTAGCGCGAACGCCGCAACGCTGACGCGTTCATCCCACGTCATTACGTTAGCCTTTAAAGAAAGGGAACATTCCGTGATTCTTCAACATTACTTCTGTTGTAAAGTCTATAAGATTCTACATTCGCTTCTAGTTTTAACCAGAGATGTTCTATTTGTGAATCTGTGGTTGGCGCTCCCGCAATATTTGTTCTCGCCTCCTTAGCCAATGGGTTTCAGTTTCGCGTACGCCAGTGGTGCGCTCGGGGGCGGGGAGGGGGGGGGGCACCTCGCAACATCGCGTCAAAATCACGGAAACGCTCCGTTTTAGGACTAAGCTTCTGAAGAGGAGAGGAACTCCGGTGTACGGAAGCAATTTTCGTATTCTCCGGAGTTCGTCCCTGCTGTTTAGGCTTAAGAGTCGTAGCATGATTTTCTCAGAGTGGCAGTCCCTTCCGCCCCCCACCGAGCACATTTATTTTGTCCGCGGAGTCAGCCTTCGTTATGAGTGCCTACCAGTTCTCAGCCTCCGCGCACTCGCCCTAGGTCGCGTTGCCGAATTGATTAGAACTGACAATCGATGAAGCTTTAGGTTTCACCGCTAAATTATAGCTGCTTCGTTAAATGTATTACTGTCCGTTGCATAGGCTGCCCATCTTGGCTGTATCTCACTGTTTGATAAGCGCAGTGAAGTGCACAGCTAAAGTGATGATGTAAACAACCACTATGCGTCGAGTATCGAGGTAATTTAGCGGTCGAATATCTCAAAACGGAATCGCCTTCAGTATAGCATTATCATATTTAAAATCTGTGACGCGATCCACTATTCATACCTCAGGCATTCACCTAAGGCGTCTAACTTAGTTGGGGGGGGGGGGGGCACGCGGCGGCGCGGCAGTCTGCTCGCCTGGCATGTTCGGAAATCCGTGGGCCAGGGGGAGTGTAGCCAGCCTAGGGGGTGGGGGTGGGGGCAGTCACTTGACATGCGTGAAAAGCTGGAATGTTCGAGTTTACACTGTCTCGCTCGAGAGAGCCCAGGTGAGCAGACTGCCGCGCCGCCGCGTGGCCCCCCCCCCAACTAAGTTAGCACCAATTCTAGAAGGTGTAGCGGTCGAAAGGTGTTTGAGTTTACAATTACAACGCTGATGAAATGATATTGAAATGAAAGGCATTATCTACAATCTGCTCTCTATTTTCTATTTCAAGTGCTCTCTACGTTCGTACGCATATCGTACTATTATCAGTCCTCATCAGTCGTTATCACTTTTTGACCCCCACCAAATATGTTCCCGTCCCACCCCCTATATCATGTCCCAAAATCAGCTCCTGACGACTGCTGCGAAGCGCACTATGAATTTCGTGAAATTTGTGTTTCAGCGCCTCTTATCTACTCTATATCAGTCGTTTTCATGGGTCTTCTTCTTATACTTTGTGACCCCCCAAATATGTTCCCGTCCAGCAGTTCACCCTACGTTTAGCCGCAGGTCCGCCAAAACGGCCAACGTTGGATGAGATCGTCCGCACGCATGTATGGGCTGAGAGCACAGACTATCGAGCATGCGAGGTGATTGACATTGTTCGCCGCCGAGAGAAACGAGTTCTTAACGAGCGAAACTTGTTGCGCAACGTAGCTGTTGAGATCTGCGCAACGCAGGGTTGACTATGTTCCCGTCCCACCCCCTATATCATATCCCAGAAACCAACTCCTGACGACCACTGGTGCCCGAGCTATGAATTTCGCGACACTTGCGTTCTAGCGCCTTTTATCAGCCCTTATCAGTTGTTATCACTTTCTGTACCCCACCAAATATGTTCCCGTCCCACCCCCTATATCATGTTGAAACCAACTCCTGACGACTGCTGCGAAGCACACCATGAATTTCGTGAAATTGTATTTCAGCGCCTCTTATTCGAGCAATCTATTCTAGCAGCCGTTATCACTTTGTGACCCCCCAAAAATATGTTCCCGTCCCACCCCCTATATCATGCCCCAGAACCAACTCTCCTGACGACCATTGCTGCCCGAGCTTATGAATTCCGCGACACTTGCGTCTAGCGCCTTTTATCAGCCCTTATCAGTTGCTATCACTTTCTGTACCCCACCAGAGATAGTTCCGACGCTCCCACCCCACTATATCTATCCTGAAACCATAAACTCCTGACGAATCCACATGATTGTAGCGCCGAGCGCTATGAAATTTTCCGGTTCCAGAACAGAACACACACACATGCACGCACGACCGCTTTATACCCGATGTATACTTATAGAGTAGGGATGAGTCGTTGTGCGTATTGAATACTCTAGTTTTGATCCTTGATCTAACAGGTAGTTCCTCATCCTATGGTAGTCAGAAGTAAGGCGTCTGACACGGTGAGATGTCCGCAATTCCTTGTGATCACGATGAGGTTTGGCCGCGAGTTTTGTGGAAGCTGGGCTTTTCTACAGAAATGCCAAATTGCAGGTGGTCACCTTCCTTTTACCTTAAACCACTCGAAACTTCCGCTAACATATAGCAATCTGTTGGCCTCTGATGAAAACTGATCCGCTGCAATTTTAGTTCCAGTAGTAGTATTCACCTCAAACCATAGGCAATGCTGATTGCTGGAAAAATGTCAGGCAGGCCTCCTGTGTCCTATCCAAGAGAAAGGGGTGATCACTGCGATATTTCACATTTATGCATGGAGTAAGGCATAGATTAGTTGGGACTTTAGAAGAAGCGATCACACTGGCTTCGAGGTGGAGCTACTACCTACGATTATCAACCGATAGTATCTGAGATATGTAGATTTGAGATATGGTTGGACGAGCGTAACCCCATGGAAGATACGACACTGCTTCTGAAGCGTCCGTCACCTATCGCGTCATTGGGTAGCCCTCCTTTAAACTGTTGCGTTCGAAAAAGCATGCACACCTAACTTCTTTCATGAATGACATTGAAATTCCTGACATTAAATTCTTGGCCATTCACAGGAGCCTGACGTATTGCTTTCAATTCCTTGCTAAATCCGAGCGAGCTGATCTTCTCAAACAGCGCTGACACTTGGCGCTCTCGCAAGACACGGGAACATCGCGATGGAACAGATTGTGTAAGCTGTTCGTTCCTAACTTTCCTCTCAACCTCTCAACTTTTTGCTCTGGGAATCTCTTAAGATCAAAATGCTAGCAATTCAACCCATTGTCAGTTCTTTGAGATTTTTATGCTTTATACGGATTTTGTGCTGCATTGCGCGAGAAACAATTGTGAGCCCAAGATGATGACAGATAACATTATCGCAAACCAAACAAAATCGATGAAAAACAGAAAGAAATAAGGAAATAAAACTTCTGGCTGTCGCAGTGAAGCTGGTCTGTGGTTTTTGACATGTCTTCTTCTTTTGATTTCAAAACGTTCTTTCATACAATCAGCTGATATTACAGTTTTTAACATGTTTTGTTTTGTTAGTTGAGAGCAAACGTTGCTTGAAAGCTTTGCCATCCATTGTACTATTTGACAATTCCTTTTGTTAGCGTCAAATGCCCAGGCAATGGCAAATGTCTTGTGGTAGCGCCTTTTCAGTGCATCTAATGTTCTTTTGTTTTTGTTGTTTTAGTATTTTTTCCCGAACTAAGTTATTGCTTTTCATTCAGTACTAGGCCCTAATGAAATAGCTCCCTAAAACAACCTGACACTTTTGCGCTACATCTTTGTAAATAGTCATGGTTAAAATTTCTGCGTTTGTGGTTGTGTCCGCAAATGGTGGAGTCACAATAATCTTTCTTCCCGTCATTTCCTTATTCTTGCTCTACCGATCCTTTCTCATGGTCTCATTGCTGAATGCTCACCCTAAGTTATTCTCCATTTGGCTGGTTTGCTTACATTTTTCCTTTTTACATACTCCTAAGTTTTTTTTTTGATTTCTTGTCCGGCGGCTTCTGTACTAATTTACGAGTACACATTGTGCCTTTAATTCGCTCATTATTCTGTGAATGTTAATCTAAAATGTCTTTATGGTGGAAGTCACAATTTCAGATACGATTCCTGCGACATGAGTGAATTCGATACGGTGAGCTGTATCGCATGACTGCCCCCTGTCTTTTCTTACTTGCAAACTTGTAAAAAAAGAAGTTTGTATTTCAGGACCCGACATCCTTGTACAGCGTGAAGGGTATCGTTATTTTGGATCAAGATGGCAACAGAGTAATTGCGAAGGTTAATGTTTATTCACGGTTTCTTTTCATTATTCAAGGTTGTTCGTTCCACTACTGCATGCTGTGTTTAGTATTTCGACAAGACAACATTCGGAACGACCAAGGAACAAAAAGCCTTTGAGAAAAGCCTTTTCCAGAAAACGTCTAGGAATTCCTCATGTAAGA